AGGCTGGCCTTGAACTCACAGAAATCCGCCTGCCTCTACCTCTAGAGTGCTGGGATTAAAGGTATGTGCCACCACACCCAGCTTTTGTTCCCACTCTTGAACAGCAGAGATATTCCAGTGCTGACCTTAGTGGATAATGGAACAAGCTTTCTAGAATACAAGTATCTTAAAGGCAAACTTTTTTAAAACTTAGGAAAAATTTTATGTGTATTAGTGTTTTGCCTGCATATATGTAAGTACATCCATGCATGTAATGTCCAAAGAGACCAGAGGAAGGTGACAGATCCCCTGGAACTGGAGTTACAGATGCTTGTTAGCTGCCATGTGGGTCCTGGGAACTGAACCAGGTTCTCTGCAAAAGTTGCCAGTGCTCTTAACTACTGAGCTATCTCTCCAGACCCTGAGTAAAAGTTAGTTTTAAATTATGTCATATATAATGTTTATAATTATTTTCTTCTTGCTATATTGCTAATTTCTGTGTTGACATGAAACATAGAGACATTTAGACATAATTTGAAAAAACACATTGTCTCGGGTGGTGAGATGGTTCAGCAGGTAAAGGCGCTGGATGCCAAGCCTGACAACCTGAGTTCTATCCCTAGAATCCACATGATGGAAGGAAAGAACTGATTCCTGAAAAAACACATTGTATATAATCAAAGTAATACATACACTTGGTGCTTAATAGATTCCTGATCTTCATTTAAAGATTGGATACATTGGTGATTGTGTTCTAGGAAACAAATCTGACCTGGGAGTCAGCAAAAGGAAAGGTGGCTTTTCTGGAGCTGGAATTCCTCCATAAGGGGCAGTGTGTGGAAGCAGAGCCTGTGGACAGCAGCCACAGCGGGTCACCTTTCCAGATGGCAGTGGCAGTGTTGGCACTGGAGGGAGATGAGAACCCGGGCCCTGGAACCAGGCCACCCTAACAGGGCCTCAGCTTCTGCCCCCCCTCCTGCCTGGGTGCCTCTTCATTTCCTCTTGGCTTTGTTTCTTGGCTGTAATTCCTATCAGTATTAATTCACAATGTTGTAAAGCAGCATGCTGCCTCTCCTGGGGTGTGGTGGGGATTCTGTGAATTCATGGAAGGGGGCTGACAGGTACAGCATTGCATGAATGTTAGCTATTCTTGTGTACTTCAGTGGTTTATGGAACGGATTACATGAGCTAGTGAACAGTCTCTAGAACCTGAACTCAGCCACTTTTGTGACAGTGTGACCTTTGGGCTAGTTATTTAACCTCCCTGAATTTCAAGTGTCCTTTGTGAACTGAAAGCTATCCCTCTAATCTCCCAGCTACTGGAGGGTTATAGGACTTTGGTTGTGTTTTGGAGTTTCTTGTTTTACTTTATTCTTTTAATTTTTAATAACTACATGATTAGAAGAAGCATTTCATTACAACTTTAACATATTCAGTAACACACTC